GTAGTAGTAGTAGTAGTAGTGGTAGTGGTAGTAGTAGTAGTAGTAGTAGTAGTAGTAGTAGTGGTAGTAGTAGTAGTAGTAGTAGTAGTAGTAGTAGTAGTAGTAGTAGTAGTAGTAGTAGTAGTAGTAGTAGTAGTAGTAGTAGTAGTAGTAGTAGTAACAGTAATAATAATGATGATGGTAATGATGACAATGATGGTAATACTGTGAAGATAATCGAAGACATCTACAGTGTTAGCATGCAAGAAAGGCACATCAAAGATTCTACGTAGGTAATTCAATTTGGCTGGGATTACAGTGCCATTCAAATCCACTAATTCACTTAGAAATAAGGTTTGCAGGCTAAAATATCCTACTAATCTAATTAAGCTAAATAATTTATTTTACCAAGCCCCTTGCAATGACTGGAAGGTCAAAGTAGTTGACCAGGTTCAGTTGGTATATCCAAACACAAAACCTGGCAAATCATAGTAAAACAAGGAATCTAGAACAGGAGCTCGGTATGCATACAATTCAAATGAGTTCCACCCTAGTAAGTGCTGAAACAGTCAATCAGGTTTTAATATTTCTTCTGGAATAGTAGTTTTTCAAAAAACAACCTAATTGGTCATCTCATCATTTGTATGGTGACCTTGAAAGTCACTCTACAGTAGGATGGCAGCGTGAAAAACCTTAAATCTTTAAAAAAATCCTACCACCTATATCACAAAGCAGGCGAGAAATTTAGAACTATATAAACCATATCTCAAAGTTGTGGAGTTATCTTGATATAACTGAGGACGACAAATTATGTCCGAAACGTAATCCAGTAAACAATACTGTTCCTTCACTGTATGATTTACCTATTAAATTAACTAAAGTGGGAAAATTGGCGGCAACAACCAAAAGCACAGAACTGTACTAATGATAACAATGAAACTTAGTAGACAGATACAACTTCATTCAGCCGCCTGTGAATCTTCATAGTCAACATAGTCATGTCACAGACTGGCATATTATAATTCTATACAAACTCCACTGGTTCGAATTCTACTGCCATCCAAATTTTCACTTCACCTTCAATCACCACCCAGAATCAATTAAATAAGTTTGACGAATCCCATAGTCAAGCAAATAGCTATTATGATGCTCACGCCTCTCGACCTTAGCTTGTTACACAGATGAAGGAGTTGAAACCCACCTTCTGACCAATGCAATAGCAGACATATAGAAAGTACCCTTGAAGCTGATTGGTTATTTCAGCCGTTGTTATGGTAAACTTTAGGGTCACTCATCTTTTTTGGAATTTAAAAGAAGCTTAGAAGAAATCTAAAATCTGTTAGGAAATATTGAAACATTCACAAATTCATTCGGTTTGTTATTAACTCTATTCGTTTACATCAATTCAAAATAGATTGAACAACAGTCAAGATTACTTGAAGTTATAGTACTCCATATAATAATTTGTTTTAAACTTCCAATTTTATTTGTGGCGGGAAAAAAATTTTAAAAGGGAAATTCTTCATGACAAAGAAATTAGAACATGTATAAACAGCAAAAGAATTGGTTGTAATGAAAGCCAATATTTCATTATACTAGGAACTGATTAGCATAAAAATAAACACTTTGCTATTCAGTGGTCTCTATCGGTCTCTAGGATAGTTTTTCTATAAGATTTGAATTCCCAAAACGTAGGCTACCATCGGAATGACTGAGATAACCAATTAGGTTTCTTTATGTTGGCTAGGACATTAGTTTTTCTGTAAAGTGAAGCAACGTAACTCGTTATTTTATTTGTTGTTAGAGAGGTTTTTAGAACAGTACATTTTGTAGGAAGGAAAGTGGAACATCCGAAATGCGCCTATTTTCGTTGTGGTAATAACTCATCTATGATACCGTTAAAACACTATAATGAGCATTGAAGTGTGAAATGTTGAAGGAACTTATCATATGAGTCATGAAAAGTTCAGTATAACTCAGACATTTAATTAATCTCAGCACACTAGTTACTAAGGCTTCCTTATACCTAGAAAGGCGTAAATAGTTGTGGTGACATCGTTTTAACACCTGAGGAGTCCCATGCTGGGACGAAACAGCTGTTCAGTGCTCCCAGGTTTTCATTTGTTATCTGACTGATATATCAGTTCGTGATGAACATCACTGTTGTTAATTGACTTGAGAGTTGTACTGATTAGCATCTTCATTCACTTATAAGTAAGGTAGGGAATTTCATATGGAACTGACCGATTCAGCTGTAATCTAGAAATATAATGAGTATGATTTGTTGTATTGAACAGCAGAGTTTTTATAATTATTTCATTTCAGCGTAGGTAACGGATAATTACTGTATCCGTTTCTGAGTCGCACTGATGACGTAACACTGTTAAGATGTTAGCCGACAAGAATTCCAGCTCACACAGCAACTCAACTAGGACATACATTGTACATTAAAAACACAGTCCACTAAGGATATTAATCGTAAGATTATTATCGACGAACGTTTTGTTGACATCCTAGTTGACAAGACTATTTCAAGTAGGAATTTCACTGAAAAAGATCACAATCATTGGAATATCTTCGATCGACAGTCTTATCAAAAAGGTAGACTTCTACGGGGAAATTGTTCCTGTGCTGAAAGCACTTTCCTCTTGTTATGGGGAATAAAATTTATTTGAGGACAGATTAAGTTGAAATGTTGGGTAGAAGTTAAAACCTATTAACTTGGAGACAATTGGCAGAAAGCCCTGCTTGGCCTAGGTTTCTGCTAGACAGTACTCGTCAGGAAAGTGTAGCTGCACTCTCGATGGAAATGATCTCCCGTGAGAGATTCGAACCCGCATCACCCAATGTGACAGTCACAGACGTTACCACTGAGCTATTCGGGCCACGAATAACCTCCTATAAGACAAGATAAGGTACACTGAGCAATGCGGGTTCAAATTCCTTAGGTGACTTCATTCCTCTCTAGGTTGTAGATACACCTTACTGACCAGTGCTAATAAACACAAAACACAAGTTAAGTAGAGCTTCATGGAGATCACCTTCAAGCATTTAACATTAGCCAAACTGTACCGTGATGCTTGGTCGTCTAGCTTTGTGACTACATTACAAAATGATCGAATGAATTCAGTTGTCACTTAGAAATGGGTGACATGAATCTTTACGAATGGATGACTGAATGTTGTGTGTGTATATATGGAAAACGAGAGATGGAATCCCCAACCCAGCTGTATAGGGGTTCACATGCTCAGACAATAAAATTGTTTTTCCTTTAGAAGTCTATTCCCATCACCGAAATCGATACGTTATCAAGAGAAAACGTGGCTAGACTACTTAGTAGGTAGATGCGACAGAAAACATGAGAACAAGAAGGAGACAGAGAGGGAGTGATTAGTTGTCTAGGTGAGTTCCTAAGATTGGGATTTATCACGAACTGACATCAGTCAGGGAACCATTCAAAACCAGGAGGGATTGAACATCTGTTTTGTCTCACTATGGAACTCCTCAGAGGTACGCACTCGTGACCCGCCCCACCAAAAGTTAGTTTAGCTGGACAGTTCACTGAAGTATCCAGGAAAGTGTGGTCTCGGACACAAAAGCGTCATAAAATAGCGAAATATACTACTACTGAACAACTTGAATAGTCAGAAACCACTTAGCTTTGAGAAATGTCAGAGTGAACTGTGTAATTTATAAATCATTTCCAAATTGATCATCGTATTCAAAGCATACCGGTCCATACATATCGACTAGCCAGATTCAAATGATCTAAACTGTTTTACCTGCATGAGGTGAATTCGTGGGGGTACACCACTGATGAAGTTGGCCTTGAACAAGCGTAAGCGAGCCTTCGATGATTAGATCATTCTGATCTGGCTGACTGGCAAAGTCTATAGATCAGCCTGAGTGGTTGTTCAATGGAATATTTTGGTTGTTAAAGTCACCTTTTCTCTAAGGAAGTTTTCACCGATTAGATAACCTAAGATTTTCAGTCGAATGCAATGACAAGAGACTCATGAGACCATATAGGGATCAGCAGCTTTACAGTAGTTGCATTAACTGTTAGATGGTGGGGGTAACGAAGCAGCAAGAAGCCTTGGACCAAGGTTTCATGCTTGTTGGCACTCATGAGTAAGAGGCATGCATAGCCGTGAAGAAGCTGGCGTTATCTCAGCGATTCGAACACGAGTCGATGAATACCGAGGTGAGGCCCAACCATTAAACTATACAGGCCATGACTGATCCTTATCGGACTGAGTTATGCGCATGATTTGGTTACCAGTGGGTGACACATGCATGTTTTAACACTCTTCGAAGACTTTAACTTATGGATTATATTTATCAGTCAAGATGTATGTTAGGTAGGTAATAAGGAACCACTAGTAATGGTGGACAGTAGCTAGTAGAACATTCCATGATGGGCGCCTCTTTCTATTTCGGACTTGTTATACCTGCCTCCTAGTGAGTGATACTGTTCCCACCTGGATTTGAACCCAAGGCCGGTCGCCTTAAACGGCAGGGCGTTTTCCACCAGGCCATCATTACTATTAAACTAAGACTGCATGCAGTGTCGAGGCATCCTCACAGGAGACCCTATGCTATTGGAGGCCTATCATTTCGATCCAATCAACGACAGGAGATTACAAAGAATACCATAATTAGGACCCATTAGGGCCTAACCGATTTGAATAGCATCTCAGTTATCAGGATATCCGCACGTGAAATAGCTTCTAAGCTTCAAAGTTATGATATATGATTGGTGTATGCATGCATTCTAGAAAACCCAGAAACTTAAAGACGCTTCAACAGCTGACGAGTTTTTAATGGGACGAAACGCGCATTTTAGATTCTACTGCTAGCCAACACTAAGTAAATCGTTTCATCATGGAGTTTTACTATTTTTTGCATGATCAACTCAATAAATTGTTAAGAAACAAAAGGTCTAACGACAAACTACTTTTATGACAAAACTTCACGAATCTTTTCATGTCTATTTAAATATTCTATGTGAAATAACTTACTATGTGTACTTCTTAAACTGATATCTTCACTATTCGATCTAGTTGGATAATGAACCATAGATTTCCTTTTATTCCCAGTTAACAAATCATTTTCTATACGCTCTTCTATTAATCCATTGCATTCATTATTGTTGGTATTGTTCATATCATTTATTGTTTGTTCATGTAGTAAGATATCATCGACAAGTTCATCATCTTCATCATCATTATCATCATCATCAGCATCATTATCTCCTGGTGTTTCACCGTCATCTATTGGTCCTTCATCAATTTCATCTTCAATCTCTGTAGTCATTTCATCATTCATATCATCTGTAGGATCATTGTGCTGTTGATGTCGTAATCGTTTCTTTGCCTGTGCACGATATACAGTATACTGATGTTTACCATTTCGTATAGAATCGTTTGGAGTGAATAAATCTTCATTCAGTTCTTTCGATGTTAAGTTTATTAAATCTAAATGAGATGATAAATTTTTAAATGCTTGATTTATTGATGTGGGGAATGAAGACGGTGAACCACCAGCAGTGGCAGTTGAAGCACCAACAGGTTGTGTTAAATTTGATGTTGACAATGCTGATGGTATACACCTTGATGAATCTGTATTTGTACGACATATACCAGCCATTGCAGCAGCGGCAGCAGCTGCTGCCATCATAGCTGCCAATGAAGATGTTGATGATGAAGATACTGATGTTTGACAATTCCCCATTGACTGAGGTTGATATCCAATTGGAAATGTGGAAGAAGATGATGAAGATGATGGCAATCCAGAAGATGAAAGACAAGTTACTGTAGAAGGACATAATGAACTGTTATCGGTTGGATTATTCAATTTTGGTGAAGTTTTAATGAACATAGAAGAATTGAATTGGTGTTCACCGACGGAATTCGTAGAAACCGATGATGATGTCGATAAAGTCATTGTATCCGGTTGAGATAAATTACACGAACTATGCGGATTAGAAGAATTAATGTGTAATTTATTATCGTTTGTCGTCTGATTCCCGTGGGTAACAGTGTTCAACAAATTAGTAATGATACTGTTATTATTGTTATTATTACCACTATTATTGTTGTTATTACGATGATTGTCTGAATTGTCATGATTGTTGGTGTCACGGTTATCAGTAGTAATATTAACAGTTTGAAGAGTAGGATTAAATAAGGGTGGTATAGGTGGATGTCGTCCAGGTAAATTATACGGGAATAAACCAGCCGCTTCTGCCTGTTGTGTACACCAAGCGGACAAGGCTGTAGCCAATACATTTTGACTATTACTACCACTATTATTATTGTCATTATTATTATTATTATTATTATTATTATTATTATTATTATTATTATTATTGTCCGTTAATGATGAATTAACTGGGAAATTTGTAGACAGTGGACAATTCGATGATAATTGTAGTAGAAATGGATTTGTATTTGATGCTGTAAGAAGATTTGACGGTTGAATAAATGATGAATAATTCAAGAGATTTTTATTCGAAGATAACATATTAGCATGATTATTACTGTTATTTAGAGATGTATTTGTTAATGATACAGGGAATGCTGGAAATCCGGTAAGTTTATTTTGACAATTCCCTAGACCTGAGATTATCTCTTCAGATAGTGAATGGCTTGGAGTGATACTTCTCTTAGTCGGTTGAAGAGAACACGGTATAGATGATGAATCATATGGAGGAGATAGAATTGGTGGAAAGTTATTTGAATTAGACATACGTTGATTACTGCCGAATAGGCATGTTGTCTGTTGAAGTGAATCTAAGGCAATATTTGCTGTACGCCAGGGATCGATTGTATTCGTTTGACTGCCAGGTAAGGCAGTGAATGGCCAACAACCACTAGCCATTAAAGCTGATAGAATTATTGGATTCATATAAGCTGGATATGGTGGTAGACCGATAGGTAGAGTTGGATTCGGAGATGATGATGATGACGATGACGATGATGATGACGACGGTGATTGGGTATGTTGATTATCGTGCAGTGTAGCAGTTGATGATAAGCCTGAGTCATTCTCCGTTTCATGACTAGCGTGATTATGAGGTTGTGTATGCTGTCGATTCCTGTGATGGTGGTGATGATGATGATTCTGGTGACTGGGCATGGTTCTGTTATTGTCATTATTATTATTATTATTACCAGTTGAAATAGGCATGCTTATAGGATCAAGTACAGAGGAGGACGTCGTCACTTGCGGTGAATAATTCCCATTGACTGGGAAATAGGCACAATCCCATTTGTCAGTTGAATCATCTTCATAGTGATAACGTTTATAGTCACTAGTTAAAAGTGACAACTCACAACTGGAATGACGTTTACGACTTCGGCGTAATAGACGTTGGGGCTTCTTGTCATAGTCAGATTCATTAGTGTTATTCACATTATTAACACCAACAGTACAGGCAGCAGTAGTAGTAGTAGTAGCATTAGGATTAATCATAGAACCAGAATTACAACATATTTCTGGAGAGTAAGATGAATTTGGTCGAATGTATAAACTTCTTCCTTCATCCTTCTTCATCTCACTTTGCTCTGCACTCTCTTCTGTGCTATCATATCTACTAAATAGATGACGATTATTATCCTCGAGTATAACTGAATTTTTAACCTCTGAATTCGATATTGTTATAACTGGTGTACCTGATAGACAGTTTCCATCACCTTCATTTGTTACATACTGGTAAAATAAACAAAATCGAGAAAGAAAAAGAAATCAGCTGATTTAAACAAGAATCTGACAGTTTTTAAAAGTCTTCTTTTTAAAATCCAGATATCAACCATGGCTGAGTGAATTTAAAGGCTACCCTAGCAACACCCAAAATCGCCATTCAGACCACTGTATTTACTGAAAATCTACCTTTTCAGCCCGAAATGAATAAACCTAACTGGTTACTTTGATCTTTCCTAATGTGGACTTTAAAGTCACCCCCATGGTCTGCTTTATGCTCACCTATCAACGCCCAGAATTAGTGATTCCACTAGCCATAATATTGCTGATTTATGTGATTGTAGCTCTGAGTGACTTTAAAGTCACTCTAATAACAATTGAAATAACCAATTTGACTACTTTATTTGATGAAAATCTGACTTGCTAGCACAAATCCTTGCTAGGTTGACCTTTGAAGGCAACACAGGTAACCAATTGTTCTATTTATTTGATGCAAAACTAACTTCCCGGATAGAATACTGAAATCTGATTGGTTATTTAAGCAGTTACCAGAGTGACCTTTCTTCAGGTCGGCATTTTTGCATGCTTAGAGTACTTAATTTAGTCTTACTGTACGAAATCCCTTTCAAACAGATGTTAACTAATTCTCTACATGTTACTACCAAATAGTTTACTCTTCAGATAAGCTTCGACAAGTTAAGTCTGTATTTTTAATTACTTTTTGTTGTCAGTACTCATAGGTTAGCTGGTGTACTGAGAAGGGTTTAACTCGAAAACGTTTGCGTTTGATGAAAATAACTCAGTTAGCTTCTGACAAGATTTCTATATCACTACTAAAAATAATCGACCATGAAGTGAATCATTTTACAGAGTAAATATCTTGAATGAGGAATTGATACTTTTGGAGTGACTTTGAAGGTCGTCCTAGCAGCTTATGAAATAACCAATCAGATTTCAGAATTTCAGCCCCGAAGGTACTTTTTTATAAAATAGACAGTCATGATTGATTACTTCAGGTGTTGTTGGGGTGTTTAGAGGTTTGTGTGGATTTATTGATTTCAGGCTAGTATTCATCACGGACCATCATTATTTGGAGAACTATTGAAAACCAGGAAGTAGTGAATAGCTGATTTGTCCCTTGGTGTGCGACTTCGCAGCAGTACGCACTCACAATCCCACCTAGCCAGAGATCGAACTCATGACCTTCAGGTTTCATGATGAATGAGGGAATGACTCAACTACTGGAGGGAGAGGAGTTTAATGATCTACTGTTTCTTACTTTTGTCAATTCGTACTGCTGAGGAATCTTATAATAGGACGAAACAGATGTCCAGTGCTTCCAGGTTCTTAATGTATTATTCTGCAACTGATGTCAGACCGCGACGAATAATACCTTATAAATCTAAAGGAAAATTATGTAGACAGACTAATGGCGTAACTATGCTTTCACCTGTTTCAGTCATAGTAACAAACCTATTTATGCATAATTTCGAAGAAAGTGTCTTCGTACACTTATTAGGGTACCTTGATGACATATACCAGGGATTGTTAGATCAGTTGAACTGTATATCCTCCAGTCTCAAGTTGAGCTCAGAAAAAGAAACGGTTAATAATGAACTATCCTTCCTTAATTGTCTTGTTAAGCGGAAAGAGAATGAGCATTTAGGTACAGCCACTTTCAGGAAAGCTACAAGAATATTTATCCGGTACAGATCATACACTTCGGATGAAATTCGGAGAGTACTCAACAAATACAATATCAGAGTGTTCTACAGAACATCAAACAGATTGTAGAGCACCATATTTCATGTGAAGGACGAGAACCTTCTGGATTCACAACTTCATTATGCTATGTGGTATACGCAGAACAAAATCCACGTGAAATCAAAATCAGAAAAAACTGAACATTGAGCGGTTTCTACGCTCCCCTCCTACATATATATTCAGAAAGGCTTTAGAAATTATAAAGAACGTCTCGTAGTAGAGTATCTTCACATGAAGTGGAATTAAAATTGTTTTGATATACAGGGTCGAAATGCACAATCTCTGATCGTAGATGGGCTCCTATCCGTGTGGCTCGACACCACTTGAATATAAAGAATGTTATAACTTTAGTTGATGACTGGCAGTGGAATCCAGGACCACTCAGTAGCTGAGTGGATAACACTTTGGCTTTTGAAGCGATGAGTATTGGGTTCGTGTCTCAGTAGAAACACCATCACTCACTGCAGGGTTCGGGCATATTCAGCTAAGGGGCCCGAAATAGAACGAAACTCTTGTGTTGGGTTCCAGTGCTAGCTACTACGTAAAAAACAGTACAATGAATACTCAAGCACTACCAAGGCGTCCTGAAAGGAGCCCATATGCCAACAGAAGTTGAAAAATCAGACGCAGCATATCACGACGGGTAACTACAAGTACCAATAAATTGTAAGAAGTAGATTGGGGAAAAAAGTAAAAAACAAATCGTCAAAATAGAAGATAACTTTTCAGTGATGAAGGACACTAGAAAAATGACAGGATGATTTTCCCTGCTTTCTGTTCTCAATTAAACCTGATAACTTTCTAGGCCAATGAAGTTGCCTAGTCTCATCGACTGTGTTCAGGGAGTTGTGAAAATTGATCGATATGGAGTACATTAAGTTTTTCAAAATGAACATTTATTAGCCCATAATAATAGCTTAGTTGTTAGAGCATGAGGTCGATGGTGTTGGTTTGAATCCGGCAGTAATTCAAATTTCCGTTTCACCCAGTATGAACACTAGTCTGCCAAACTACAGCTATCTCAGATGGTAGTCAAAATAATAATCAATATGATGCCCTCCCCACCCCGCCCCACCTAATTCACTTAGATTTGGATTGAGATGAGAAGTCCTGACTAGGCAGCCAGTGTGAATATGATCAAGCGACAGTAACGAGTCACGAATTCACATGATAATCTAGTAAAACCCACTGGTGATTGAAGTGAAATAAAAATCTGTTCAGCAGTCGGATCTCGTAGCTCAGTTAGTAGAACATCATGCCGGGAATCCGGTGGTCACTGATTCGAATCCGGCCGTGGTCCGAATTTTCATTTCACCTTCAATCATCATCCGGTATGAATACTAGTCTGTTTTTAATCTTAGGTAACTGAAAAAACCCTGTCCCATGGAGGATTCGAAGCAGCAACTTCCGATTACTCCTGACGTTCAGACTCAGCATTATTCCCTTGCATTAAACGTTTCGCAGCATGACATCAAAGTGAGAGGAGATATTTCCAGTAATGAGCACCACCTCATATATATGTATCCGTATACATGACTGTTAAAAAACGGGATAAAAATTGATTTTACACAAGATGCTACTACTATTTTTGTCCAAAATCTTTGAAAATATTAGGAAACTCGTTGTAAACACATAGAATGGTATTTTGAGATCGATAGGGATTTTCATACTATTTCAACCATCTCTGGTGGGTCATGAGGGTACATTACTGAAGAACAGATGCCCAGTGTCCTCAAGTTTCCAACGTTCCTCCAACTGATGTCAGTCCATGATGAATATCAATTTGAAAAATCACTAAATCCCTACAAATTCCCAAATCAAATATGTTGCTATGGTTACACGAGATGATAGAAACTTTCTAGGATTCAGGAAAGCTGATCTGAACATGTTGAAAAATAATGGTACTAACTGTTGACATCGGATCCAGTAATGGAACTGTGATAAAAGATCGCGGGGGAACTTCAGTTTCCTAGTTTACATCTGATGTGTATATTGTTGGTTCTTGGTAGTTGTGGTCTTCTTCAACAGATAGGCTCTTTCGTCGAAATGTAACAGTTTTTCCACGGACACGGAGATATTCATTCAAGATGACCTGGTGGCGAAACTCTTAAAGGTTACAGCGAAATCTAGACATATATTCAACAGTTTTTATCTTTTACCCTACATGGTATATTACTAAATCACCTGAGTCACTAGTTCTTCCACTTTCCAATCATTCTATCCCCAGATCATTCTTCTGACTAGAAAACTAAAGAATAAATCACATCAATAGTATAAGTCCCGACCCGAATAGCTCAGTGGCAAAATCGCTGACTACCATACAATGTGAAGCTGGTTCGAATCTCAGGTGGGACATCAGTTCCGTCGAGGTTTCAGAGATGCCTTGCTGACGAGTGCCAGGAAGGTCATGCAGGGTTTCCTACCGTTTGCCTCCAATTAACTAACAAATATTATCGATCTCCTCCATCTAATATTCTTAACTTCTCAGTGTATAATCGATTGGACTATTCAATCCATCTTTTCTTGTAAAAAGAACTTACTCCCCCCGCACCCCTCCTTCCAAGGTGATGTATAAATCTTACCAGTTAAGTAGAGTCATCTGGTTGCTAAAGTCAACTTGATTGACTAATTAATTCAATTACCTATTCAATTGATTTATTTACCTATTTGTGTTTACTTATTCACTTGTTTATTTTACTGACTAATTACTTTCTCTGTATTTATTTGTATTATTTTTTTAAATAGTCAAAATGTGGTTTCTTTTTAAAGGTAAAAAGAAAATGGATTTATAGGTCTTTGATAGATGAGGTGGATGGCGGGGTGGGCGGGTTAAGGGGGGAGGGGAAGAAGCATTAATAAACACGTGGAAAGGTAAACAGATGGTGTAAGGTGTGGTTAAATCTACACTCGCACACACACACACACACACACACATATGTGGTCCTAGTGTTGTTTATCTGATGTAAATGGAACACCTGAATGTAACAGAATAAATTAGCGTTGAAAGTATTTCGTAGGAGAAGCGGAAATCAGTGTGACCACTGATCACTTAGTCATTACTGAATATACTGACCACCATGGTGTTACATGCGTTTACTCCACTGGTTACACTACGATTACAAGTAGTAGGATTGAAGCAGTCTGTCTGATCAGAGTGAACGGTAGACTGTCAAAATAAATGAAAACAGGTTGAATTCTAAACGAATTAGTCTTTTCACCTTTCCACCTACTCGTCAACAGTAGTT